GCTTTCCATTCACAAGATGGACTGATTGTCGACGATGTCAAAGATTACTCTCACCAAATCGCAGAGATGATTGGGCTGGGAAGTGACACAGAATTTCTTCAAGCTGGTGTAATTAAATCTTTTGTTCCATCTTTCCATAAGCTACTTGATTGATCCCTTACTAGTTTCCAAAGAATCAATGCTTCTAGTATGCTATCGGTTTCATAGCGTTGGAACTCTGACGCAGAACCATAATTCTACTCTAGAATAAAAGATTTCTCTTTGCTGAATAACAGGTGCGTACTGTACTAGATATTGGTTGTGGATTTGGTAGCTTCAGTGCCCACCTACTCTCGTTGAACTTGATGGCTCTTTGTGTGGGAGCATATGAGTCATCCGGTAGTCAAGTTCAGCTTACACTCGAGAGAGGACTTCCTGCAATCATCGGAAACTTTATTTCAAAACAGCTACCATTTCCATCATTGTCCTATGACATGGTTCATTGTGCTCAGTGTGGGATCATTTGGGACAGCAAAGGTATTGTCCTTGTTGGGTTTTCATGAACTGTGTTTCCCATTCTTATTTCTCATTATCGTTTAATGTGGACTGACCTGATTTACCGCCAGTAGTTTATAAAGACTTGTTTCATTAAGTATTCTTCTGTGTACCTAATTATGATACTTCCTTTATTTTACTAGTCTATTTTATGCTGTGAGAGAAATACTTCACAACTATTGAAGTATTGATCCACAGTATCTTCTACACTATCTACTTTACAACGAACCTCTTTTACAGTCAAAACATCTTCGCCAAGATAAAAGAAGTCTGGTCGATACGGCCAATCTCGCTAGAAACTTTTGGTGATACTGCTGATAAATTTTTTGTTCTAATTTAAAATTCTGCCCCTTCTCTGTCTCACCTAAGTGTAACTGCCACCAGCTGCTGCCCTGGAAGTTAAGACAGTCTTCTTCGTGTGATGATTAACCTTTACTGCTAAGCTGAAGTTAAATAGATCTTCACATTTAGACACCTTCATCTTTTTCTGATAGTGATGAGTTCTAGTTTTTGTTTGTTTATTGGATTCCTCAACAACTATCAGTATGGTAATCTTCTGAGAATTTATACCCGAACAAGTCTGTAATGGCATGAAACTAATAATGATTTGGTGAAGCAGATGGGCTGTTTCTTATTGAAATTGACCGTGTACTCAAGCCTGGAGGTTACTTTATTTTGACCTCACCCATAACCCGGCAGCAGGGTAGTTCTACCAGTTCAAAGAAGGGAAGCATGTCTACTCCTTTGGAAGAGATCACTAAGAAGCTTTGCTGGTCTCTTTTGGAACAGCAAGAAGAAACTTTCGTCTGGCAGAAGACGGTTGATTCACAGTGCTACACATCTGGGTAAGGCTAACAAGAAAGCCAATGTCAAGTACTCCCTCTATATTCTGTTTCTCATATCCTTGAAACTGCTTTTGAATTCGTTTTATTCAGTTGAAAAAAGTAAAATTTGAAAGAACAATAATTTATGAAAGTTACAGCTGATTGTGGATTACTGGAATCAGGATATATTTAGACTAATTTTTGGGTTTAAAAACCTTTTTGTCCCTTCATCTTTCTGAAGGGAAAAAAATACATTTTCTGCGATACTTGCCTTTTGTATGTGTGTATGGTCAGCTTTGAAATAATTCACTTTTTATTGACCTGTTACTTTTATAAGCTCCACTTGACCCCTCCCACTCCCACGAAAAAGTAAAGAAGAATAAGCTTTCTCTCATGTTCAGACTTTGACGTAGATTGTCTTCCATTTCTGTACTATTTTTCAAGTTAAACTTTTACTTTTACTTTTTCAGTTTTCGTTTTTTCCCAGTTGACCTTGTCTAATTGGCTTTTGTTTTTTGATGTAGCAAGCAGGGTATGGTACCACTTTGTAAAGGAGAGGATATGCAACTGTACTACCAGCCACTTGCACGTTGTATATCTGGAACAGGCAGCAATCGATGGGTTCCAATTCTTAGCAGATCTGGTTCGCTGAACTCAACTGAGCTTAAAGTTCATGGCAAGTTTATTTGAATAAACTTGGTTTGTTAACTTTACTGTCATCCTCTAATTTCTTGCCATTCCGGCTCTTTGTTGTTAACATTCAATCATTGCCTGTGTTTTGCTTTATGGCAGGAGTTCATCCTGAGGATTTCTTTGAGGATTCAGGATTTTGGAAATCAGCTGTGAGAAACTATTGGTCTTTGCTGTCACCCTTGATTTTCTCTGACCATCCAAAGAGGCCAGGTGACGATGATCCATTACCTCCATATAATATGGTGCGAAATGTCTTGGACATGAATGCTCATTATGGGGGTTTAAATGCCGCATTGTTGGAGGCAAGCAAATCAGTTTGGGTGATGAATGTTGTGCCCCTTGGGGTGCATAATACACTTCCGCTCATACTTGATCGAGGTTTTGCTGGTGTTCTGCATAACTGGTAAGACATTAAGTGTTAGACACATTAAGATTTATGTGCTCTTGGATATTGTGCATAATGGTATATCAATCTAAAGTATACGGATTAGCTATTCTCTTGCAGATTATTTCAGTAGAAGAAAATCACAGAGCTGTGTGAATGAAGTAGCAACTATGTATTTATTTTAATGCATGTGATCATAAATGCCGAGGGTCTACTGGAAACAGCCTCTCTATCCTCACAAGGTAGGGGTAAGGTCTGCGTACACACTACCCTCCCCAGACCTCACGGTGTGGGATAATACTGGGTATGTTGTTGTTGTTGTTGTATGTGATCATAAATCACCTAATGACATTTACAATTTTGAAATGGATCTGATATGGTGTAATGTAATATGTTAAACTCTATTTGTTAGCATAAAGGAAGAGTAATAAACAATAAGAACCCTGACCTTATCCTCAACAGGATGTTTATCTATGATTCTGAGTCATGATTTCCCATGATATTGGTTACAGTAATTTTATGCTTTTAATGTTTGAAGAAATTCTGTTGGAGACTGATATCAGATGTTCTTAAAATTGGGCCAGGTGCGAACCTTTTCTTACATATCCAAGAACATATGATTTGCTCCATGGTAATGGACTTCTGTCACACATTGCTTCACAAGGATGCAATATAATTGAACTACTTTTAGAGATGGATCGTATCTTACGGCCTGAGGTAATATTATATTTGCAGTCCGCACAATTAAAATATCATTTGTTTTAGAGGGTGTTTGGCTAAGCTTATAAGTATTTTTCGGTTTATCTACGCGTTTAGTAAAGTTAAAAATGCTTATAAGTCAAGTACTTGTAAGTCAAAAATAAGCCAAAGTTCATAAGCTGGTCACCCCAAGCTTATGAAATTTTAGCTTATAAGCACTTTAAGTTTGACCAAGATTTTTACTATTTTATCCCTAGAATATTTCTTTTTAGAACAAAACTCCTACATCGATACTCACTGCCTCACGTATTTTTTCAACCTAAACCACCCGCCTCTTCAAGTCTGCAATTCTCATTGACTATTTAAGGTAAGCAAATTCTCTATTCCTTTGCATATTTGTATCTATGTGATTGTGTATTAATCTTTGAACTATATGTAATAAAAGAGGACATATCAAATTTTCGGTGTATTGCTTTTTAAGTGTTGTAGTGATGAAGACAATGTTTGTTTCTCTTCAGATATTTGTTCTATTTAGGTTTATTTTTTTACTGAGAAACTTTTGTCAATTTATTAATTATTATAACTTATGATTATATGCTTATTTATCATAAAAATTATCTTATCTAATCACAGTTGTATTTAAAATAAAATGACAAATAGAATATTTTGTATTTGAATCGATCTGAAATCTAAAATTTTGAAGAAATTACGCCCTTATAAGTGTAAACAATTCTAAGGTTATTTAAGTCATTTTAACAGAAAAAGAGCGTATCAAATACTACAGCAGCTTATTATCAATTTCAACACTTGTATCCAAACACATAACTGGTTATTTATTAAATCAGTTTCAGCACTTAAAAGTGCTTTTCAACACCTAATGCTTATCAACTACTTCAAATCAGCTAATCCAAACGGGCTCTTACTCGTTCGTTAAACTTAAGCTTGCTTTTCTTAGATATGCTCTATGTTCCCTTTTTTGAGACTTGGGATTTGGCATTTAGGCGTAGTCCATTTATTGTTTTATATCTTTCCTGTTGTATCTCACTTAAGAAGGGGAGCCTTGGAGCAACGGTAAAGTTGTTTCCGTGTGATCTATAAGTCACGGGTTCGGGTCATGGAAGCAGCCACTAATGCTTGCATTAGGGTAGGCTGTCTACATCACACCCTTACGGGGTGCGACCCTTCCCCCGACCCTGCGTGAACGCGGGATGTTTTTTTACACCGAGCTGCCTTTTTTTGTATTTGACTGAACACCTTCAGATGTGTCACTCAAGTTTGCCCGATTCCTTGCAGTTATTGCATGTTTTAACATTTGAGTTTGATTCTAAGAACAAACTTATTGACAGGGATGGGTAATTCTCTCTGATAAATTGGGGCCCATAGAGAAAGTGCGGACGTTAGCCACACAAATCCGCTGGGAAGCCAGGGTGATTGACCTGCAGAATGGAAGTGACCAACGACTACTCGTATGCCAAAAACCATTCGTGGGAAAGTGATCGATCATCTTGACATGAAACTTCCACGATTCAATGATTGACCAGTCCGTTTGCGCACTGCTAATTCTCCTTAACTTCCAATGGTAAAGAGGAATTAGTATCACATGGTGAAGTGAAGTATTTCTTTCTCATTTGTGCGCGCACGCTGCCCCAAAGGTGGAAATATAATTTTTGGAAGCTGCAGATTTGAGCAAGATTTGCTGGAGTAGAGACAGCACATAAAGAAGATTCCTTTCAAAAGATTTATGTAGCAATTCATTCAGCATTGTTTTTGTTCCTCGTTTTTTCAGTTTTTAATATATCTTTTTCAATTGTAATTAAATGGTATTTTAGTGAAGAATCACCTTTTCTTGAGAGCAAGAGATTATATCACAAAATGTATGAATCAATATAAATAATGGTTTCCCGAGATACACCTTTGTCTCCACCTTGTTTTCTAGCTCTACAGATCAGAATCTATGGGCAATCCTGGGTTCGTGACTAACATTTCACTGCATCTTCATTGCTATATTTATATGACTTCGGCAGTTGCTTGACAATTCAGATTCTCTTTATCATCTTTCACCATTCATTAACTTCCAAGTTATTGGGTTGCTGGTAGAAGCATCTTTCCCCAAACTGTTCCTCCTCAAGCCAGTTGAGAATATCTTACGGGTTAATCTCTCCTCTACTTTTCCCATTGAGTTATGCACATCTCGCAAATAAGGTTCCCAAGTGCAAGTACAAAAAGAAAGGCCGTGTTCTATACAGCCCGCTCCAAGCTCCCTGATATAGAATTACAATAACAACGCGTCATTTGACTGTTTTTGTTTGTTTGATCAAAGCAGATCAATAGTGAAAGGGAGCTTTAGCTGCACCTGCAAAGAATAGGTTGCGACCACGGGAACGGAAATACAACTTGGTGTCATGCCTCATCTTTCACCGCATTTTGGCTAAAGATAAGTCTAAAACCATAGCAGTCACCACTCTGTTGTTCTGTTTCTCCTCCTATCCCTAGTTGCCATTTTCTCCCCATACCTTGCAAATATATCAGCTAGATCAAAGTGCCCAACCTCTCTAAGTTTTTTGCTCATCACTTCAAACATAACCACACCTTCCTCATTTGAATAATAATGCAAAAACTTGTTATAATCAAACCTAGGCACCTCAACTTTTTTGTACAGTAATCTCTCTGCATACTTGGTCGCGTCCAACGTCCTTCCTGCCTTAACCAAACCTCCTACAAAAATGGTATCGAAATTCACAAGAGGATCAGATCCTTTCCTCCCTCTCTTCCCCAAATGTCCCTGTAACAACATAACATACGTATGCATTATCGGCTCACATCCTCTTTTTATCATCTCCCTAAATACTTCAGTTGCTTCACTTGCTCTTTTCAACTTTAACAGTGCTTTGATCATCCCATGATAAACACTTATATCAGGCTTCTCTATCTCTTGCACTACGCTATACGCTTCCCTAATCCTCCCTCTACTCACAAGCCCATAGGTTATCGATGCTAATGTAAGATTATCGGCTTTAATCCCTCTCTTTTGCATTTCTTCAAACACTACATAACTCTCTCCTAGCTTGCCTTTCTTGCACAACCAATTGATCACCAACCTGTAAGTAGAAACCCCCAATTCAGACATCCTATTCACTCTCATTGATTGAAAAACCTTCAATGCTTCATCATATCTGTTATTCTTGAAAAGGGTCTCAATCATAGTCTCAACACATTCAATATCAGGTTCAAAACCTTCATCAACCATTAAATTCCAAATCTTTGAGGCTTCAATCACATCACCAACATCACAAAACCCATATATTAACCATCTATAAGTAACCCCATTTGGCTTTATCCAATCTTTCAACTTCAACACCACATGCTTAGCCTCCTCATCAAGCTTATTTCTACAAAGAGCCTCAACTACTTTATTCAATATTTCCACATTATACCCATATCCAAAACCATTCATCACATGAAAAACATAAACACATTTCTTCAACTCCCTAGCTTCAGCTAGAGTTTTTAACCCAACTACATAAGTTTTAGGGGTGACCAATTGACATCTTCCAATTTCTTGAACTACTTCCCAGAAAAGATCAATGTTTCTTGATTTTCCAATTACATCTAGCATTTTGTTGAGGGTGGTGGATGTGTGATTGAAGTGGGGCTGTGACTTGGTAAATTCATAGAATTTGTAAAGGGGTCTCCAAGAATATGGGAATTTGTTGCATACTTGAAGGAAGAACTCATGGGTGAGGTCAAATGGTGTTTTGCAGAGGTTATTGCGGACTTTTTTATCGGATGAGTACTGTTGCTGGTAGAGAATTGTACAGACTCTTAAGAGGTGGGTTTCGTTTACTGGTCTGATGGGGTTTGGAGATTGGAGTTGAGGAGCAAATTGGGCTGCGTTGGTGGCTGCTGATGTGGGGATAATTTGGAGATGACGATGGGGTGCTAGGAGGAATGTAAAAGACCTGAAAATTTTAGGTTTTAACATTTGTGTCACAAAATTATGTAAGGCTGCTTTGAAGTTCAATAGAGGCGTTGTCTTGAAGGAGCAATGAGAAGCAAAAGTCGAGAGGCGGATTCGCTATTGCGGTTAACCACAACATTCAATATAAATTTATCACGCTCATAAAAATTGATACAGAATTTATGTGCTGATATCTCATTATTTTTTGAAGACATTTGCAACTATACAAGGAGCTTTTGTCAATGTTTTCGGATGCCGACAATCACTTTCCGTGTAATGTTCATCCGCCTCTACACTTGACCCCAAATAAATGTATATTCATTCAATTATTCAGATCCTCGCAAATTATATATAGTACATTAAGAAATGTTTTATATTCAGGTGAATAAGATCTATAACTCAAAATAGAAATAAATCTGTCAACCATCAACTTAAATAGCAGATGCGCATAAAACAGTATAATAAAAAAATAATTTATATCTTAGTTCTTTGATAATGTTAATAATTAAAGTCTGTTTGGCCAAGCTTGTGTCTGGTCAAACTTTCCAAAGGAAAAAGAATATTATTGAGTAGACGCACAAGCTGTTTTGTACAAATTGAAAAATAGCTTCTTTTCAAAAGTTGAAGCAAAAGTTGTATTAATTATCCTTTTGGCAAACATACCCCTCGCAAAAAAATTATATATACCAAAATAACTCTACTCAATTTAACCTAATATTTAGCCATTCGAAACACAATTCTCCTGTCCAGAAGTTTATTCGACGTCTCCTCCCTCACGATTCATGTCTTCTCTCTCACGGTAGAAGTGTTTATTTTTATTTTTATGGTAGATTTCAAATATATGGTGACTTTGATGTAAATATTTTTATATTTGTTGAGTGATGTCTTGATATATTTAAATTGTCTTAAAAGAATAAAGTATTTTTTAATTTTATTTTCATATTTTACTTAAATAAAAAGAAAATTTTACCTTAGTCTTTTCCTTACCTTATTCATAATTTGAGACTCAAAAGCACTTTTTGAAAAGTTTGGTAAAAAATAAATTATTTTGCATTAGCGTTTTTTGAAAAACACAAATAAATTCTCTCCAAAAGTAATTCTTTTGAAAAACACTTTTTAAAATAGACTGATTTTAAAGTTTGGCCAAACAGGTTATGAAGCAATACTTCATAGCAATTCCATCTTTTCTCAAACCACAAATTTCCTATTGCGATTTATGTAATTCACACCACATACACATGTCCATCTAGAGTTTTAAGATCTTATAAATAAATAATTGTCATCCTTGAGTGTATTATTAGCATGTTTGTAAAGTAACGAAAACTATGCATCAATGTACTGTCACTATTTAAATGTATTTTTTACGTTGTGTTGAAATCTTTTGAGGGTTGAAATCCTTTAAATGTTACACTGTATATCCTTAGGAGTAACATGTAGCCCAATCCTTTCGTTTTAGACGTGAACCATGTTCACCAATAAGAAGTTTGAAGAAAGAATCCATGATGCCAAGTTCGTTCCAAGTAGAATGAATCAGCCAATTTACCCAAGGGATTAAAGCTGACCAGTATTATTTTTTTTTTTTTTTTTTTTTTTTTTTTAATGATATTACTCCCTCCGTTCCAATTTATGTGAATATGTTTGACTAGGCACGGAATTTAAGAAAAAATGAAGACTTTTGGAATTTGTGGTCCTAAACAATTCAAAAAGGTGCCCACAGTATTTGTGTGAGTATAAAAACTTCTCATTAAGGGTAGAATTGTAAGTTTAAGCAAAATTGTTTCCAAATTTAGAAAGGGGTCATTCTTTTTTGAATGGACCAAAAAGAAAATAAATTCACATAAACTAGAATGAAGGGAGTAGTATTTTAGCCAGCTAGCTAGCGTGCACCTCGATTAATTTCATTAAATACCTACCTCTTAGCAGCACTAGTACCAAATTACTATGTCCACCAAAACTTTGACAGATGAGAAGAAGAAATAACGTCCGCTAGGATTTCAGCTGACCATCTGTTTTATGGTATAAATAAACTCTCCAGTCGAACTTGTCCAGTGCATTCTGCAACAATCTAAACTAAGTCCATCATACCATGGTTTTGCCAGAGAATTTCTTAGGCTTCTTTCCTAATGACAAATTACTCTTCCTGCCTAAGAGTAGTTAGTGCATATAAGCAACTATCTAAATTAATCCCAATCGAAATTTAACAAGAGGTCAAGAAGTTCTAAACAACATCAAACTGATCATCATTAGACCTGTTTATGAGTGGCATTTATGTCTTAGATTGGCACAGTACTGACTTGTGTAAGAACATATTCAAATGTAGAAAAAGGATAAAAACAACTACTCTATTTAAGAGAATATTTAGGTAATAAAATGCTACTTTGAGAAATTAAAAAGCAATTATCATCAGGAAATACAGCCTACTTAGGAGATCCGCTAAAAGTTTTACTCTGCTGAAAATGACATAACAGATAAAGAAAAGAAAGACCTTATATACTTTACTACTATACATAAATGCCATAGATGCATCCGAAAACATGCATTATTTCTAAACTGTGTCATTCAAGATTCTTCCTTCTAGAAATAACTTTGTGGCAAGCAGAAATCTTCCTCTTGATTCAGGATTTGTGCATCCTCAACATCTGGTTTCTGAAATTACGAACCAAGCATGAGAGTGGCAATGGTTATTAGTCACAACGATAAATTTTTGAGGCAGCAAGAGATACTTGCCAACTATGACTAAACCTCTAGATTCTAACAGAGTGACTCAACAAGTGTAGAATAGGCTTTAAGACGAGCACAATCAATACAGCAATTTCATAAAGCTTGCCCACTGCAAAGTCCTAAGTTAGATGCTAAGCAAAACTAACTCTTCTTAGGACAGAAAAGCACAAAAATATCATAAAACTCAAGATTATTGGACATACCATCATTTCCAAGTTATAGAAGCGATCCAGCAGCTGCAACACGTCATCAGGGGTAAATTGCAGGTTAAAGCTGTGGCAGTAAGTTTTTCCAGTGACAAATGACAAAGATAAGGTCACGTTAGGCTTCAACCAAAGAACACCTCTCCCTCACTCTTTTTAGTGTGTGGTGTGTGGTCTTGAGTAGGTTGCTTAAGTGTCCGCTTTTTTTCCCCTTTACTGCAGCCAAACTCCTAGCTCATGTACAACTAGTCAAATCTAGAGACAAAACAAAAGAAAACAGAAAAAAGTATAGTTAACTAAACCTTCTCTGGAGGTATTCTGTTAAGCTGTAAAGGACAAAGTGACGATGCATGCCTGCCAGAGAAAGCAAGGTGAGCATGTTAAATATCTACCACGGATAGGAGAATGCAAATTTCACGTGAGCCACTCTATCCTTTATACTTCTTAAGGGGTTGAAAAGACATCAAACTATCATTCCGTTTGAAGAACACACCAATCACCCCTTCCTCTGTTAGAAAATACACACACACACACACTCTCCAAATCACCAAAGAGTAATTAATGTTCAAGTGTGTGCCCATGGTTGACGCTACTTCTTCTCTATCGTAATAATTTGACGAAGTCACTTATAATCAAAATTGATACAGCATCCTATATTTAGACATACATGATGCAAATACATTGACTTCCTTAGCTATCACATTCCCTCTTAGTTGTAACCATACATTGCTTTCACATTCTCTCTTAATTGAATAAGGTAGTGGGCCGTAGCCAAACCGACTAGATCTATGAAAGACTAGGTATAGAGTGAGAATCGCAATGATCTTATGTGTTGTGAACCAAGCAGACTTCCTAAGAGCCTATGGGCTAGAAGTAGTGAATGTGACTAATTCAGTTGGAATTATTGGGCTTAGTAAAAAGTTGGAGAGTTTTATTTGGGATCCAATTGGCAACTGGTTAAAAGGACTAGGTGCTAGAAAGTAGTATCAGTTTATGCGAAATGTTATGAAGTGTCTGTATTCCCTCATCCCCTTTGTCTGAGTTTTGCTTCTCATCCTCATTCTTATCTTTGTCCTTAGTTACTTGTTATTTCAGTAGTTTCCATTGTAATTCATTAGTTTGAGTGTTGCAATTGATATCTCAAGGTTGTAATCACTATTCCAGTTGTTATTAATGCAGTGAGGAATTTCGGTATTGTTACATTATGACATCAAAACCATTACTTGACTTTCATGTAAACAATTCAGCTGAGAATTACACCATAGGCTAGGAATATGTTAAGAAGTGCAATTCAACTACGATGTTTCAAGCTCGAACTGTTGTATTTATCAAAAACAAATTAAGCCTTTGAAGCCATCAAGCTCCTTATTGATGGCTTGTTACATACACACAAGCACTTAGACGAGTACTTATGTTTTTAGTCAAGATTCTACTTAAAAGAAATGAAGTGGTCAAAATTATACCTCAAATTTGTATAAACCATATTCAAATGCATATGATTATGAATTTCTACTTTTCTTTTGATAATCGAGAGATTTCCAACGGCCAATGGTGCACGGCTAGAAAGTCGATGGATAATGAGTCTACCCCTTTACTCTTCTCCGTTTAAATACCAAAGTTTTATCTGCGACAAGGTTTGATCCTGACATGTGCCTAACCCACACGTCAAATGTTGGGCTCTTACTACTAGACCAAGCCTTGGGGCTTATGAGTTTAGTTTTTAACTAGTCATAAACTTTGATATAGTTACCACCTTTTTGGCTTTAACAAGAGCAAACACATGGACGGATAAAGAGGTTACAAAAATTAGGAAACAAAATGAACTGAGTAATTTCAGAAAACAAACTGAAATTACCACTTAATTTGGAGAGAGGATAGGTTTCAAGAGCCTCCAACAACCTTATCTCCAAATCCACCGAAGAGTGGAAGAAGAAGGTTTACAAGGGGAATGAATGTACGGAACGGACATGCCATCATCTTCTTTTGCCCCATTTTGAAATCTTGATTTCCAAAAAGCACTCTGATTCACTCTACTAGTGTACTGTCTGCGTGAGAGAGACTCTATCAATTATTTTTAGATTTAAATTTGTTTACCCGAAAATATGGATAGAGTTGAATTTATACGTAGTTCTATGGGTATGGGATATAACTTGATATAAATCGTAAGAGTAAAATGAAAATATGGAACATTGATTGCAAAGGATGAAAAATAAGCAAAATTGGAAAGAAGATGATTTATGGATTAAGCAAAATGAATCAATCTATATAGCTAAAAAAGGATAACTCTTCAATATAGGAGTGTATGATCTCTCAATTGCAATGTACGTAGAAACTTGGTCCTCTACAGAAATAATAACCAACCCCTTTATAGTGGAGCGATCCTACTTTAAATACA